GCCTCTAGTTGCAGGAAGACCTTTGAATATGTATTTGACAGTTCTTGAGAGTTTAATGGGTTGTGTGCTCGATCAACACGACAAGACAGGTAGGAAAGAGCACACACCTACTACTTGAGTAAAAAGTTTACAGATTATGAGTCAAGATACTTGATGCTAGAAAAGACATGTTATGCACTTGCTTGGGCAGCAAAACGCTTAAGGCAATACATGTTAAACCATACAATCATGTTTATTTCAAATTTGGATCTGATAAAATATGTTTTTGAAAAGCAAGCGCTTTCCGAGAGAATTGCTAGATGGCATATGGTTCTGACAGAGTATGATATTCAGTATGTTTCCCAAAAAGCCATTAAAGGGAGTGTTTTATCAGAATATCTTGTTTGAACAACCAATTAAGGATTATCAACCAATGAGATTTGAATTCCCCGATGAAGATATAAGGTTTTTGAAGATGAAGGAATATGATTAGCCTTTACTCGACGAGGGTCCTGAGATTGGATCCTAGTGGAAGTTAGTTTTCGACGATGCTGTTAACTCATACGACAACAAAATCAGGGCAATTATTACAACTCCTCACAGTTCTCACATATTGTTCACTGCTCGATTAACCTTCGCTTGCACAAACAATGAAGCTGAATTTGAAGCATGCATCATGGGTCTAGAAGAAGCTATCGATTTAAGAATCAACAATCTTGATGTGTACGGTGATTCAGCCTTAGTCATCAATCAGATCAAAGAGGAGCGGGAAACCCGTCAAACTAATCTGGTGCCTTGTAGTAACTATGCAAGGAGATTGCTGCCTTTCTTCGATAGGGTTGAATTTCATCATGTACCGAGGGCCGAGAATCAGATGGTTGACGCTTTGGCAACGCTATCATCAATGTATAAGGTGAATTTTTGGAAGGACGCTCCAACAATCACTATCATGCGCCTTGAAAGGCCACCTTTTATATTTGTAGTAGAAGAAGCGCCAGATGGGAAGCCTTGGTATTTTGACATCATACATTTCCTCAAGACTCAAGAGTATCCACTTGGGGCATCAATAGAGACAAGAAGACTCTAAGGAGGGCTGTGGGGAACTTTTACTTGAACAAGGATGATGTGCTATACAAAAGAAACTTCGACATGGTGTTGCTGCACTGTGTGAATTAGAATGAAGCAAGTTTGGCTGATGGAAGAGGTCCACGAAGGCTCTTTTGGTACTCATGCGGGTGGGCATGCGATGTCTAGAAAACTATTAAGAGCAGGGTATTACTGGATGACCTGGAGTCCGATTGTTTTAAGTATGCCAGGAAATGCCATAAGTGTCAAATTTATGCCGACAAAATACATGTGCCACCAAGCCTTCTAAATGTATTGACATCTCCATGGCCTTTTGTGGGCATCGACATGATTAGGAAGATTGAACCTACTTCCTCCAATGGGAATCGCTTTATCTTGGTAGCAATTGATTATTTCACCAAGTGGGTTGAGGCAGCTTCTTTTGCCAATGTGACCAGGCAACTAGTCACTACTACAAAAAAGCTATTTAATAGCGTTTTTTTTTGCTTTTTGATAGCGCTTAAAAGCGGGCTGCTATTGTAAAAAAAAAATTTTGATAGCACTTTAAAAGCGCTAGTATAGTTCTGGTAATTAATAGCATTTTTCCAAAAGCGCTACAGAAGTGCAGTAATTTTGAACCTACAATTCAAGTCACAACTTACAATTGAATAACCATACTCGTTCTAGTAAATAAATAAAAACATACTTTTTCAATTAAATAACATTATATCTAGTCGTTGTGGTAGATGGATGGTGTTATCATCCATAGAGAAGCAGCGTAAAGACAATTAAACTTGACTAACAATAACTAACAAATCTACTTGCCTGCCTAACTCTTGACTAACTACTAATAATTGAAGGAAATTTACTTACAAAAACAGTAACATTAAGCAAGAAACAAATCCATAGACAAAAGAGAGGATGGGGAAATTACTAATAAAAATAATCTTGACAGACATTCTGTTGAGGACATCCCACTCATATTTGTTATCTTGATAGTTCAAGACCTGGGATGGATGTTGGCTGAGGATTTGATTTGGTGGGAAGACCAGAAGACTGCTTTTGGGGCCTGGGCCTTTCTTCTCCCTACAAAGGAACCTGCTTCTCAGACCCACAATTTGCTCCTTCCAACTCAAGTTCTGGCTTTCTCTTCAGCTTCTTTGTCAAAACGCCATCAGCAACACGGAAATCGTCCAGGGAACTGCTTGAACTTCCCTTTGTTTTTTCTGGCTTTACACCATTCGTAATATTGGGGACCTGGACAGCGGTGCTCGTATTAGACAAGGGCTTGCTTGTTGTAGTAAAAACACGACTGGTTGATTCTGGAGCTAATTTCTTTTGTTGGTTCTGCTGTGATGTAATTGAGCCAGTATCTAGTTGAACGTTATCCTCTTACCTCGATGCCAGCAACTTCTTCCTCTTTATTTTTTCCTGATCTTAGTAACATAAGTAAACCAATGAGATCAACTTAAAAACAATTTTGCCCTTACAAATACCAGATCCTGGTTATCATCTGGGCATAAAAAGAGTCAAATGTTATTCTTCCATTGTTAATTAGGTTTACAATGTTTTTTTCTATCTTATTGACAAAACATAATATTGAAATTGAAACAAACAATGGTGGCACCATGGGGAAAAGTCTATACAATTTTCCAAACAGAGGGGAAGGTCTGGCTAAAAACTTATTTTACAAACATTCCCCAATAGGTATGATCTTATGATCAAAGTATCAATCCACTCACTACTTGTACCATCATATGATCTTAGGTAAGCCATACTACTTTGAATAACTTCCATATAGATAAGCATACTCAAGAGCTAAGACAATTGTCGGGAAAAACTCTTTTCAACTTTTAAAAAAAATTTGGAGCAGGGGAAGATTTTTTTTCTCTTCAGAAGATAGAGTGTAAGCTTCGAAAAATTGTTCATTAATATTAAAAATCCTTATTCACTGCAAAAGACATGCCTTATTTTTTGTGTACGATGCTCTGCGCCTCTCTTTTGCCCTGCAAATTCCATGTTTGATCCCATGGTTGTCCATGTAACCAAATGGCCATAATTTTGCAAGCTGATAAAGACAAATTTCAAAAAGGTTAAAAAGAATAAATATATCTATTTATAGAATGAAAACAGTTTAACTAAGACATAACATAAACTACATGTTCAGTTCACATGCACATGCATACTATCAAGTGATAAGTAGCATGAATTCTCCTTGAACAAGAGATTTGTCTATTGGAAGGAATAGAATTGACACTCAGGGGAATTTCCTGCGGTGAGTACTTCTTACACCAATAAATTCTTAAAATAAATTGGGAGACATTTTTGAGAAGGCGTTTTGAAAACAAATTTAATGAAAGCAAGTGAAGAATTCGAAAAACCATGTTTAAGTTTCTGTCATCAGCCAGAAAACCCAAGACAGGGCAACCCCGTAGAACTGCTAGACTAAAATTGCAAATACATTTTAAAAATTTGACCTACCTCGGCATATAAATTTCTGATCTGTGGACCTGCATTTTCATCCAAGCCCTACAGCCATTGCAAGCATGGTTCAATTAAGTTTTATCACAGAACATAAATTTCACAATAAGAATCTGTAACTCAAAATGTACATCAACAAAAATATCATAGAGATCACAAATCTTGTCCTCCAAAGTGTACGTCCAAATTAATAGCTGGTAATAATTAAGTAGCTGCAACATACACTCTTCTTTCATAGCCATCGAACTTCATAGTTTACGTCAGAAGTTGAATTTCATAGTGTACGGATATACTCATCATAGTTGGCTACTATTAATTTGAATTAACTAACTCTTTAACTGATATTAACTACCACAACTAATTAATTCCATTAATTAGCAGTTAAGATTCTAACTAGTTTTCCTAACAGTATACATTAACTACCACAACTAATTAATTCCATTAACTAACAGTTAAGATTCTAATGAAAATACACTTACACACAATGATATTCAATCATGTTATACAAAACACAACAGCAATAACATGCCCCTAATGCATATACATTTACATACAATGACATTCAATCATGTTATACAAAAGCAACAACAACAACATGCCCTGTTGTAGGAAAAAATCTGTCACAAAAGTCCAATGGCCTTAAGCACCATTCATAGCCTCATTGCCTCTCAACTCAGATGGAGAACTCTATCAACATACCCTAACACCAGGAATGAAACTAATCCATCACTTCAGCTAACAATTCCACCATAAGAGTTCTGACCCAAAAATGCCAACAACGAAAAACTACCAGTAAAGAATAGCTGAGAGAGAAACCACTGGAGATGAACGTTCAAATTAACTATCATTGTCCATCCAATAAAATAGACAATTTACCAACCCTGCCTACCATCCCTGTCAAAAGAAAATCCAAAAGCTCTGAGATACCTACTGATCAACAACCTGCATTGAACATTACTACATACTCCTGAAAAATTCAACTGACACCAACAATCAAATTCTCCTCCCCAACCCCCTAACCTCGCAACTGTAACCCGATTAAACCCAACTCAAATCCATTAAAAAACCAACACAGACTTTGGAGCATACATTGACTAACTCCCTCAATAGAATAATTTAAATATCTGCAATTAAATAGCCTCATCTCTGTTTTAGTAACTTCACTTTCATACCAATTATGTCAAAGTTGTGTCTATGACCAGACAAAAGCTACTATCATATTCTTAATTTGACAATAATATGTCATATCAATACTAATCCCAATCATCAAAATCAATGGTGATATGCTAGTTAATTTTTTCAATTAAAATAAACAAGATTATGCGTATGTCTCAAAATTCATAAATCTCTTTGCCCTGAGCACAAAAATTCATGATACAAGTTTTTTCTCTTCTAAATTCGAAAGTGTATTCGATAATACCTTAGGTTAAAATATTTCAAAGCTCGGAAAAATTAGGGATTCACTAATAATTAGTCAATAATGGTAGAAACTAAATTATCTTTAAATTTAAATCCCTAATTTTACATTTTACAACACAAAGCAATAATCTAAGAAAAGAAAGATTACCAGATACCAATGAAGAGAAGGATGATGGTGGCGAGCTGATGAGGGGTTGAGTTCGATGGAGAATAGGTTTTCTTCGTTCTTTCTTTCCTGTGTTTCCTCTTTCTATTCGAGTGGTCAATCGGAGGTGAATCTGAATCGAATGTGTTTCCTCTTTCTAGTGGTGAATCGATGAATGAAGGCTAGGTCGACCGCGTGAGTAAATTAGAGGTAGAAGTGGAATGAGTGAATACCATGTTTTGAAGGCAGGCTAGGTCGATGGCGTGAGTAAATCGGAGGAAGAAGACCAACTGCTTTGAAAGAAGACCGTGTTTTGTTTGCGGTAGTAGCAAAAACTTTGTGCACCAAAACTAAAAATCATCCGTGAAAAGACTTTGTTTTGTTTTATTTTTTTAATTAATTTTATTATTTATTGTCATATTTTATGATTAAATAGCGCTTTCGTGTAAATGCTAACATAGGATAATCTAATAATAGCGCTTTTTAAAAAGCGCTATCTTAGTGAAAAATAGTAATAGCATTTTTAAAAATGCGCTATCTTAGTGAAGAATATTAATAGCGTTTTAAAAAAAGCGCTATCTTAGTGAAGTCTAATAATAGCATTTTTTTTACAAAGTGCTATCAAAATCACAACTTTTGTACCCTATAATAGCCTACGATCATAAAGTGCTATTATAGATGTGTTTGTTTCCTTTTTAATAGAACTTTGTTTAAAAGCGCTATTAAATTAGGCGATACAAAATATCAATTTTGGCGTAGTGAGTTGCTCGTTTTATAAAGAAAGACATCACCTACCGATATGGAGTGCCGGAACGAATCATTACTGACAATGGTTCGAATTTGAACAATAAGATGATGAAAGAATTGTGCCAGAATTTTAAAATTGAACACCATAACTCTTCTTCGTACCATCCAAAGATGAATGGTGTTGTTGAAGCAGCAAATAAGAATATCAAGAGGATTGTGCAAAAAATGGTGGTGACTTATAAAGATTAGCATGAGATGTTGCCTTTTGCTTTACATGGCTATCATACTTCGGTGCATACATCTATTGGGGCAACACCTTTCTCACTGGTATACGATAAGGAAGTTGTTCTACAATTAGAAGTCGAAATTCCTTCTTTGAGGGTATTGTCTGGGGTGAAGCTTGATGAAGCAAAATGGGTGAAGGCTAGGTTGAATCAACTCAGTCTGATTGATGAAAAGAGATTGGCAGCTATCGCCCATGGACGGCTATATTAGAGCAGAATGAAGAAGGCATTTGATCAGAAAGTGAGCCCTCGGCATTTCCAGGTAGGTGACTTGGTGTTGAAGAGGATATTAAGAACCAATATGTGTTTCAACTGAAGGTAAGGAAAACACTGAGAAGGGGGGGTTGAATAAGGGTTTTCAAAAACAACTTAGGCAATAAAAATAACAAGTATTTTTATACTGGTTCGTTTGAACTCAAACTACTCCAGTCCACCCGGCCAAGGTGATTTCACCTCTCTCAAACAAGGATTTAATCCAATAAACAAAAACTGATTACAATCTTTTCACAAAGACAAACTTGTCTTAGTCTTCTCAAGAATACTGACCGCAACTTGGTCTCTCAAGGATATTTTACACAGTAATACAAAGATGTGTGTTTAAGTGCTTCTTAGATAAGCTATTTCACAATAATGATTTTACACAAATGAAGAACAAATGAAACTATTCAACAAGTATGTTTGTTGTAGAAAGATGTTCTCTTTTCTTTTTCTCTTATCATTGTTTAAATTGCAGTTGAAGACTTATTTAAATAATCCATTCATTTCTCAAACAGCGTGCATATTTTGTCTTCTTTCCAGGAAAGGAATGTTCAGAGATTTCCTTTTTTTTTCCTGACATTCTGTTCCATACACAAAAGAGGAATAGTACCATTGGATGTAGACAATGAATATTGCAACAAATCTTTCTTGATCAACATCTTTTTGAATGAATGAATATGAAAATATTTCCTTCATCAGATCCTCTGATGATGTTCCATTTTCTTCTTATCAGATCTTCTTATCAGAGTATCTTCTTATCAGAGTATTTTTCTTATCAGAGTAACTCTCTTCCAGAGTTTTGCAGCTTAGTGCTAGCGTGATTATTTTAACAAACTGTTCATCCAGATGAGCGCTTCAGATCAGAGCAGATATTCGCTTCTTCAGATATCCGTGTTATCCAGATGTATCACTTTGTTACTAACATTTTAGAGCCTTGTTATTAACATTTCAGAGCCTTACGTGTTTTGATTCTCAGAGCCTCTGCAGTTGCAGCTTTGATTTTAGTATGCTCATAGTCTTCTGAAACTTTGCTTTATACTCTATGCTCAGAGCCTTCTGTAGCTACGCTTTGTACCAAACACTCAGAGTCTTCTGTAGCTTCGCTTTTTACCAAACTCTCAAAGTCTTCTGAGGTCATAGCTTAATGTTCAGAAAAAATATTCCGTTCAGAGGAATATTTATTATGTTATTTGAAACAGAAACACTTGAACAAAATTAGAGTATATATTTTCCATACAAAATTTCATTATTGTTATCATCAAAACATTGAGATATATTAAGAGCCAATCTGTGTTCTAACAATCTCCCCCTTTTTTATGATGACAAAAACTATACGAAATTTTATTCAAAATAAAAATATATATCTCCCCCTGAGAATATGATTCTCCCCTGAAATGAATACTGCTAGAAAATTTAAAACTTCCCTTTTAGCACTTGTATTCTTTCTAGAGCCAGAGCAAGCTTGTAGATTATCTCAGACCTTGTTCAGAGTTAATGCTATAAATATTGTCAGATGAGTAACTTTAGCTCTGAAACACTGAATTCATGATTAATTAGATTTTAACATGTGTGAGTTTCCATTCAGTATCTGTTTATATGAACAATCAAAATTTCCATTCCCCCCCCCCCTTTTTGTCATATCAAAAAGTGATTTTAAAAAATCATTTAAGACAAAAAAATGTTCAGAGCAAGAAAAAATAGAAAAACAAGATAGAATCAGATGTAAACAAAATTCACAGATGCATTTAGAAATTCAGAAAGGAAATAAAACAAGCAAAATCACAGATGTGCACAAACTAACAAACAATTAAGATAAACGAGAAGCTAAAATCTTAAGAAGCTTTGTCATCTCATAAGGTGAAGCTTCTTGTTTGGCCATCCATGTCTTGATTTCAGTAGTGGATTCTTCCTGTTTGACCATCCACTCCTGAATCTCTGATGTAGTTTTCTCTTGCTTGAGCATCCTGTTGCGGTGAGAATCGTGATACCAAGCTATTGATTAACTTGAATCTTAATTCTTAAATTCACAACCGGACTTTAATTTATCGAAAGAAAAGGTCTAAAGAAAGAAAGAACCTTTTTCGCAATGTAACAACAACGCTAAGAGATTCGGGGATCGGGGGTTGTTTATGCATAGGGTAGGTATTGCACATCCTAAACATCTGTAGTACTCTACAGGAACCTTTTGTTTTTTTGCATGCTAAGTTTGCTAAATGTTTGCTATGGATTGGGATTGGGTAAATGTGTAGGTTAAAACCTAAAGATAGTTTCTAAGTTTGCTCGCAAAGACGTCACGCCCTCTGCCTACGTATCCTAACTAGGATAGAATCAAAGCAATTGTAGTTCACCTCACTAGGGTTAAAGAACAATTGATTATGATCAAGGTTCA